CATGTTAATCTTTATCTAGTAATCACTTTGGTGAACACAAGGTGTATATGGAAATTAGCAAGAATCCCCTACTCCGTTGTCTTCGGCAATTAAGCTATGTTCTCTTACACTATGTTTTGATCTTCGAATCACCTCCTTGTTGACTCCTAACCTTGTGACTACCTTTGCTTGATATTCCTCCTTCGCATGGTGCTTGCTCCTATGCAACCAAATTTGTGCCATGTGAGAATTCTTGTGGGTTGTATGTTCAGTAATGGTGCCACGATTAGCGATCTACGGTGCCACGACGAAACCGAGAGCCTCCTGTGGGTGTGCACACAAGGTTGTGCTGGTCGGCACGCGCTGGTATCAAGGTTTCTAGTGATGGTCCATTATAGAACTGCACCGATGTGTTATTTTCACGTAAGCTCTTCCTTGATTATCTCTCCATATCTAATCGGAAGATCCTTATATCAGACCAAAAGTAGTAGAGCTTCCTTCTGAAGTTATCAAGAGGATAACATTTGAAGAGCAGGTCACCGACATAAACATTAATAGACTACAAAAGGTGGTAGACAAGTGACTCTACTTGACGATCCCTGTAATGACGTCGGTCATCTAGTGAGCAACTTATGTCATCCCCATTGGATTAGAAAGGTACACCCCACTTAAGGTTGAACAAGTTGTCAGACGAGCAACTTATGTCTGTGCCGATTAAGGACCGTACCGTTGTTGGCACTTCTGACAAGATTGAACGCATGCCTATAACTTAGCTGGCTGGATAACTCGTTCCGACCGCGAAGCCGAGTAGCTCAACTCAGGCCGGGCCCCGTTCTGTAAAAGTGCGCACTCTAGATGGTAGTGAGGATGTGTGGGGAGCTAGACGTGAGCCCAAGGGCAGGGTAGTCTTGATCGTCCTAGAAGCTGGTCATCCCTGATTATGCGGCGCTGGGCGAACCCACGAAATGTGGACCTGAGTTGTACCAAAGATGACCTAAGGCTACCGTGGTTGGTAGACCTGGGTTTGTGTTAGGAATAAATTCCCAGCTGGTTAAAATCGATTCGAATCGCCGTCTCTCCCGTATAGTGAGAAACTTGGCTAGCTCCAACATCGTAGTAACTGTATTATGGAATGTGATGGTTCGCATAAACATGGAATTACTACTCCGGCTATGGTTACTATTGTATGCTATCAAATGATATACCACATGTTTGGCACATGTTAGTTGCTAATCTAGAGATGAATAGCTATAATTAACTTGATGACCAAAGTATAATTGTACAATTGAATTAGTCATGTTTTATGCAAAATATTGTCAAGCTAGCTCCACTTCTAAAGCCTTGCATAATCCTTGGAGTCACTTTATTTCTGGTTTATGACGGGTAAGTCTAGCTGAGTACATTCGAGTACTCAGGGTTTATCCCACCATGTTGTAGGTGATGTTTCGGCCTGCTGAAGATGGTGACTAACCACCGGTGGGCTCGGTGACTCTATATTTACTTCTCATCTATATGCTTTTATCAGAGGATGTCACTTATGCTAGCAATGTATTTGGAACTTATATTAATGTAATTATTTGAAAGCTATGTTGTTTTCACTAATCGGTTTTGAAACCCAAACATGGACAATTATTTGTGAACCCATTTGTAATATTATTTCCGCTGTAACTCTGTGTATGTGGTGTGTATTTGCTTAATCACGTGATCTTGGTTGTGATGTTGATTTACCAAGGTCCTTCGTGACACTCGGCAGACTACCAGGTTTAAATAAGTGAAAGTATGCACATGTCAACGTGTTAGCGGGGACAGCCGTACTTGATCTTGTATAAATTTGACGGTTCTGTCACAGGTAGGCCCATCAGACATTGTAAGCTCTTGCTCATAGCCCTGCTGGCGTTCCTGCCTAGGGCCAGCCCAGCCTAGAGCGGACTCACATACCGGATCCTAGGAAGGTAGCGAGCCGTCTCCGCTCATGTTGGGCTGCATCAGAAAACTTGGTCCATCATGGTCCAAGGTTCATCCACATAGGGAGCCCACAAACAGCGATGGGTCCTCGCAGAGAAACTTTCCCTAGAAGCCAGGGGCACCGCCGCACGTGTCGCCAACGGGGAGAAGGTCATCCCTGCTTGCACTATCGCGCTGGACCCCTGACCCTAGCAGCAAGAGTGGTAGGCCTGCTCGACCAACATTGGGTCCGTATCGACGCCCATGCCATCCTCGAATGCGTCCCCAAGATGTGCGATAAGACCAGGTGAGGGGTCAAAGCTGTCCGTGCCTAACTTTTCACCTGCCCCGATGAGCACAAGACGTGAATTGCCGTAGAACCCGACACGTGTGGCATGCCCACCCATAATCAGGCAGACTACGGAGCCAATGACCAGTGACCTCCTGCCTCATCCGTGGGCCCACAAGCATGCACAACGGATGGCGTGACTTCCTCCCCTCCAGCCACGGTTACCGGGCTAGATGGCAGCAAGCGACCACCGTGGCAACGGTCAATCCCCGGGTGAAAGCATTTGTAGTTGCTATGAACAGAGCCATCATCGTAGCTGTCACGGCCGCTGAAGTAGTCGTCATTAGGGGTCGGCTCCCGCGACAGGCCACCGCATCCATCATCGATCCCAGGGTGGAAGCGGTTGAAGTTGCTGTCGCATGATCCATCGTCTTCATCGGCATCACCACCATCATGTCCATCGTCCGTAGGGGACGCTGGCGGCGTATTCCAATCCTGTAACACGACTAGACGTAGCCGCACAAGGTAGCACAGACCTAGAAGCTCCACCAGAGTGGCCTCGACAGGATTGTGGATGCGTGGCTCAGGAATGAACATGATCTGCTCATCGGGGATGAACCGCGGATGCATACACCACGCTGTGACGAAGAATTCACGGTCATCATCCACCGAGATGTCGCTCGGCCGGACAACATCAACGTCTGCACAAGCAGGGCCAAGGATGGTCTACGCCGCCAACGCATTCTGTGCATGGAGGGGGACGTGACTCATCCCCACCAGCACCCTGAACCTGAACGACCCTCAGCTGGCCATCGAAGTCATCTGCCATGGCCGCCATATCAAAGGTAGCGTGCCCCCCGGTGGAGTAGCGAGCGACGCGGTTTCTGTCCTCGCGGCGCCTGAACCGCACGACAAAATCCTCCGGATCATGGCGACGGACCTCAGCATCTTCTGCCACTATGCCGAAGCGCTCAAAGAGGAACCGGGCAACCATGGCAGGCGACACCGGGGGCCTGGTACCGCCAACAACCGCGACAAGCGCAAGGCCGAGCGCGTCTTCAGCAGCGTGCAACTCAGCCGAGCGAGGGACGATGATGAACTCTGTACGACGCTGGCGTGCCGCGCGGCCGTCCTCAGGATCCGCAGCGGCCGCGCCAGCCACCACAGGGCCGGGAGACCCCAACGGAGGCGGCGGGGGTGGCGGGGGAGGTGCGGGGAGGCGGAGTCGGCGGGACGCAGCAGCGTGCCGAACCGACAGCGACCGTCCCGCGGAGGCAGACCGCGCCGACTGCGTGTCATCAGTGACGTCCTAAGCCCGCCGGCACCTGGCAGCCGGGCGCCGCTGGGCGACCCGACGACCCCCAGCACCGCGACGGCGAGCGCCCACACTTGGCACCCGCAGGCCTCACAGGAAGCGGGCATGCGAAGGCGCGGTGCCCCTCGCACCTACAGCTGAAGCACCTTGCCGGGAAGATGCAATCTGCCTTGACATGGTTGCTCGCTAAGCAGTTGAAGCAGAGCCTCAGCAGCGCCAGTCTATTCTATCCCAATGCAAAGGTATTTTTTTTGCAAAGGTAATTGGGAGAGAGGAGATCTTTGAAACCACTCGCTCTTGTGATCCTGCATGGGAAGAGAGGGAGAATAAGATTTTTGAGAAGCGCTCCACGAGACTACTCATGTTCTTATCATGGGCCACCTTCCGTTTCAAGTCAAGCGATGCTATGTATACGTAACGCCATTTTCATCACTGATTGGTTCGACCAGGCCTCCCAAAAGTCATCGTCAACAACATGGCTCCTCCACCAGCCACACCGACGACATCTGCAATGATCAACTCGGTTATCATAGTACGAATTGTCGTACATCAAAGTTGCTGGATTGCGTCAAGCTTCCACACTGCATCAAATATATATTTGACTACATCAACGAGACTCGGATAGACCTGAGTAATAGCACCATGGTGCCCCAGCACTGGTCCCCCTCAATTCTCGGTTGTGGTTTATTTTATCCCATCCAGTACTATTTTTATGTGTATGCTAATTTATAAGAGTAGCACAATTTATTTATTTAGTACTCGAAAAGTGCATTTTTTTACCTCAGTCATGATTTATATTTGGAATATATTCTTACAAATGCTTAATAATTGCAATAGGATATCCCGGTGTCAAGTCGTATGTTCCAACCTACCGGGTGGGACATCTGCACACAGGATCTCTATTGGGGCTATGATGAGCAACTCAGATATTTTGGCTTAATGTTAGAAAAGTTAGATATGTGCCAATTTTTACTATAGAAAAATCAAGATCGTAACGAGAAATTTTAAGTTTTAAGGTTTCTTGATGTTACCCTAACCATTCACAAGCAATCAAGCAATGTGATATGTATATATATATTTTTTTTCAGACGGGCGAATATAACACACCATTCATTTTGAGAGGAAAAGCATACACCAACAAAGGGTCAAGCCACAAAAGGGAATACAAATCCCAATACATATTATTGTGCATGGAAACGTATAAACACTTAGCTACTCAACACCATTCCTAACTTCTTAGGTATTCCATGAGTAGAAATGAAAGAACAAAAGAAGGCCCAAGGGCCAAGGATAATCCCAATACATATTATTGTGCTCTCTTGTTCAATCTCTCTGTTGGTTGGGAAACAACAATATAACAGGGCTTTGGAACAAACAGGGCTTTGGAACAAAGGAACCTTCTAGAGGCCTTGATGCACTTGGGCTGTAGGTAATCTCAGGGCCTTTATAGACTACTAATACATGCTGAGCTCCCTACTTGGGACGACATAGCATAATGTTTAACGTCTCCTCCTGTCCGACTGTCCCTGTGTCATCAGTGGGTTTATCTGCAGTTGGAAGGTTGTTCTCTTTTATTGGAGATAAAGGTGGTTCCTCCAGAGGCAGCAAAATCTCATCTGTGCCAATGCTGATTCCAGAGTCATCACCTGGATCATTCACAATCTCCGTCTTCCAGTTGAGCCCAGCGGGAACTATGTCACTGTATGGGACATAATCCTACATTCACATCATATGATGCAGCTAGGAGTTGTTAGTTTTAAACAAATTAAAGGCTATATATACATATTATCGCAAGCCTTGCTTTTGAATGTGTTTTAGCCTATTAGGTACCTCAAGTTTCTCAATGAGCTCTTGTGCGTTGGGCGCATGGACAATGATTTGGCGGGCGCTGTGGCTGATGAAGGCTTCCTCCATGGCCTGGTCGATGAATGCCAGCAGGGTGTTGTAATAGCCATCAACGTTCAACAGGCCAATCTTGATGAAGAGTTCTCAGTGAATTAGAGACACTGCGGCATGCTTCAGTGCACATATATATAGAAGCTTGTTGATTATTTACCGGCTTATGATGGATGCCTAACTGTGTCCATGTGATCACTTCAAATAGCTCTTCCAGTGTTCCATATCCTCCTGAATCATAACAATTTAGCTGATACAGTCACATTTACAGTGAGAACAATATTGGAAAGAGCTATGACCGGTGATGATTCAATTGCCCTAGCCTGCTGTCATGTGGCAAAGTGCATGGAAACACATGAGTCAACATTGAAAGAGAGACCCGACGCATAACACAAGTAGCAGTGCCACTACTCACCAGGCAACGCTATGAAGGCATCGGATTGCCTCGCCATATCAGCTTTCCGTTGGTGGATACCCTCTACCAGCATCACCTTTCCCACTGTCTCTCCAATTATCTGACAACAATGACGTTAAAATTTTCATAAGAAGGGGGTTCTATCGTTTATACTCATGTCCTTGTCAAGGTGACAGAATGGTTTATTATCTCACTATATAAAATTAGTATTGGATCTCACATTTAACTATCAAGTACTTCATCTCTCCATAAAAGAATGCAACTATGGTATCCATGCTGGTCAATATCTAGCTCAAGTTTGACCAAGTTTATAGTAAATACTATTAACATTTATGTCTCTAAATAAATTTATTATGAAAATATATTCTATAATTAATCTAATAATATTTATTTTGTATCATGAATGTTTGTACTTTTTTTATATAATTTCAGCCAAAATTTGAATTGTTTTACTCCTCGAAATACGAGAATTACATTCTTTTGTGGACAGAAAGAGTATTTCCTACTCTCTATGTCCCAAAATATAAGGAGCACATATTTTAAGATTCAAACTGCTTGCGATTTTAGTCTTACAAAAAAAAACTCGACTAGAGGAAGAGATTTAAACCTTACCATTTTTGTAATAGGTGGAAGCAGGTTGGCTGGGTGACAAGTGACACGCACGCCCACTGGCCAATTAATTCATCTCAGGATAATTATAAATTCTCTTATAAAAAGAAGATCAGTTGATTAATTTTGTTATAAAAAGAATACCATTTGATTGACACTACTACCAAGAGCATTTTGAGTGGCGGACAGATGGTCTCTATTAATAGATCGTTTACACCTAGCTATCTCTGTAAATGATCTTCAAAAAATAAAACATACCATCACGTATAGTCTTGTGCAACCTCTCGCTATTACTGTACTACACACTCACTTCTAACTGAATTAAATGATATCCTTTTTATTAACACTTATTAATATTGTATTGGGTAGTTTGGCCTAGGTAATATTGTATTGGGTAGTTTGATTGCTAAATGACTTCAAATGAAAAAAGTTTCAACTACAAAGTTTTAGGTTGTATCCAGCATTACAATTTTAGTATAGGACTTGTCCCATACGAGATTCTTTGAAAATTTGAATGTCAAAATCTAACCTAAGAACTTAAAATAAATATTTGAGGCTTCAAACGACTTCAAATCATAAACTTGTCAACTACAAAGTTGTTGATCACATCGACAACTACAACTTTGGTATTGAACATGTCAAAATCCTAGGTCAACTGAGAATTCTAAATTTAAATTTTAAAATCTTAAACTTAAATACATAAAAAATTTAAATAAACAAACTTGTAAACTACAAAGCTATAGATCGCATTGAGGCTATAACTTTGGTCTAGATCCTGTCAACATCCAAGTTCGTTAGAAAATTCTAATTTTGAATTTCAAAAAATTTGAGAACTTAAAACTAAATTTGACACTGTAAATAAATTCAAATAAAAAACTTGTCTACTATAAAGATGTTGATCTCATTGATCTTTAACTTTTTGATATAAAGTTCATCTTCATCCAATTTTATATGTGATAGTTATGATTTTTTTTACAACTATTTGTAGAGGGGAGCATCTTAAGAAGCTCACTTCTGTTAATTAATTTACAGAGACAATACACTCAAGATGCATATCTTTGTTAATGGTTGTTTTAGAGGCGACCTTAGCTTAGTAGGAGGCCCACCTCTGAAAATTCATTTATAAAGATAATTATTTTCGGATTGTCTACTCACTCCGTCCAAAAAATTGCACATCACGTCGAGAAGTTAAACTTTTATAAGTTTGATCAAATATGTATACAAAGATATACTAATATTTATGATGCTATCATCATATTAATAGTGGAATATATTTTCATAATAAACATATTATAGGAGATACAAATGTTGGTAATATTTTTGTATAAATCTAGTTAAACTTGATCGAAAAATGAAATTTGTTGGGATCCGCATTTTAGTAGAGTGACATTCAGAAGTACCATCTTGTGGTTATGATTGTATCGCTACAACACTATAATAAGCATGAATATATATGTGACTGATGAGTACATACAACCTCGGGAGTGAGAGCTGTCGGAACGACCCTGCAGCACAACACAAGGAGATGTGAATATAAATTAATAGAGCTAGGATGCTCAATGGTTAGAGACATGAGGATCGATCAGGATCAACGGATGAGTACCCGAGGACGCGCCTGCCGCCGCGGTGGACCGCATGCGAAACGAGCCCCATGAGGCCCAAGCTTCCGCCGCCATACACCAGATCAATGCCCCTGGACACCTGTTGCATGCAAGCACCGAAAAACAGGAACGAAACAGTCCATTATATTATATAAATAAATAACCGCTTTCGGCAAGCAGCACCGAAAAACAAAAATATTAGGGCACTGTACTGTACTAGTGGGTAGCAAAACACTCGATAACCGCGCGCTGGTTATCTTTGCCTCAGTCTCACTGCAGCCTGCCTGCAGCTAGCTATAGCTAACGTGCCGCCTGCACGTACACGTACACATCCCTGCATATCTCAGAGCGCGCTGATCGAGTCCATTTTGACCAAGTACTCGTAGTATGTAGCTTGCACTGTGACTTCAATACGGAAGAAACCTTTAAAGTGGAGACGCGCAGGTGTACATACTAGTACTATTTGTGTGCAGAGAGCTGTGTCACGGACGCACACACAAGTCGTACATACATATATAACACATGGCTAAATCTACTCCTACGATGATGCACGGTGGTCGGTGGACCACAAGGACATGCCATGCATGCAGCAGGCCAGCAGCAACAGCGAGCGAGTAGAGGCGCTGCAGGTCATCCAATCATCCCATGCATGCATGGCATGGCAGCTGCTAATCAGTAGGACAAGTCGTCAGTAGACAAGACAGTCGATACAGACAAAGATACTACAACTTATACATCCAGGCTAAAAAAAAAAAGTCGACACAGACGATCGATCGCATTGGCCGTACGTGCATCCATCGTTTGTAATGAAAATGATCCGGATCCGACAGCCAAACGAGTACGTACGTAGGGCGTCCAGCGCGCAGTCCTAACGCTGTTGCATGTGAAACAGTGAAAGAGTCAGGCTAGGAATAGTAGGCAACGACGCAGCCAGCGAGCGACCGTCCGTCCGTCGTCCTATCCAGCCCCGCCGCAGGAGACAGAGCACTGGATCACATCGTCACCACCCCGGCCGCCTGCCAGACCATCGTCTCTCCAAAGCAAGACCAACATATCTCCAGACCCCTTACTGAAAATGGGAGGTGAAGACAGCTTCACTTATTAGGGCCTGTTTCTGGTGCATCTCGAATCACTTTTTTTAGCTTCAATTCCATAAAGAATCTTCACTATTAGAGCTAATGTTATTTACATAAACGTTTGGTAAAACAACGCCTCAAGGTAGATAGCAGAGAGAAAATTGGAAGAAGCTAGTATTTTCAATTTCACCCAGCTTCACCTAGAGATACGTGCCTATGAGAGGAGCTGGAAAATAGCTTTTAAAAGCTGCTTCAAAAGAGCCTGTTTGGTAGAGAAGCGGAAAAACAAGTTTGTGAAGCCGTTTCATAAGATCTACTAAACAGGCCTTTAGCGGCATACCTAGCGTCCGGACGTCCGCCCCCCCCCGGCGGCGTCCAGACACAGGTCATATCGTACTCGTTGTGTCGCGCCCCTGTCCCCCACCACGTCCCGTTCCCCACTACGTTCCTGTCCTAGGCAGATTCGATCATGATGACCGACGAGAGCACGAGATGGGCGATGCGGACCACGCTGACCTCCCTCCCCGCGCGCCTACGTGCCCCCGCAGCCTCCGTGGCGACTGGCCGCCTACGCCTCCTCAGCGAAGGGAAGGGTCGCGCCCCTGTCCCCGTTCCCCGTTCCCCATCGCGCCCCGTTCCCTACCGCACCCCTGTTCCAAGAGCACGAAACACTTCAAGTGCAACATCGCAAAAATATGTAGTGCAACATCAGAATTAAAATACTGCAACATTGCAAAACTATGTAGTGCAACCACGAAAATTATGTACTGCAACATCGAAAATTATGTACTGCAACATTCAAAAATTATGTACTGCAACATTTCAAGCAGTAGTACTGCAACATTGCAAAATCAACCATGAACACATGGAAAAATGGAAACAACTCAATAATCACATTTCAGCGCTACAACATTTGAAAAAGGTAATTTCAACACTTAAAATCCCCTATTGTAATAATTCCAACATTAGAACTCCCTTTCTGCAACACATGAATCACCTTATTGCAACATTCAAAAATCATCTGTTGCAACATCCCAAAAATCCCATTGCAACACGTAGAAACAGCAAAAAGGCGTACAAAAACAACAAAGAGGATGGGTTCAAGGTGCAGGCTGCTCCAGCTCCTAGCCCCATCACCTTCGAGCTCGTCGGAGAGAGGAGGGAATAGAATCCAGAGCTCATCGGAACCCTAGCCACTGCTGCGTCCCTCAGATTCAGAGGAGGAGGAGGAGGGCTCAGATCCAGTTAAGGACCGACCTACCTCGTCGGAGCCACCGCCGTCGTCCTCGTCTCCGGTGGAGAGCGGGAGCCGGGTCGCTGGGGAGCGCGGGGTAGCAATGGAGATCACGGAGGGGGGAGGGAGGGAGGGAGTGTGGGCGGGCGAGGCGGCAGCGAGCTAGCACGGGTGTGGCGTCCGTCGAGCGCATCGCGGCAGTGAGCCGAGGGTGGGGATGAGGGAGCAAGCGGCAGAGTGGGCGCGCGGAGGCGGAGGCACAGAGTGGAGATGAGGATGAGGCAGGCGGAGCGGAAGTGGATGAGGACGAGTTGGTCCAAGTCGTTCCGTGGGTAGATCCGTTCGAACGGAACATACGCCCACTGTATATCATTATTGGGGCGAGGTAAAGTAGAATCGGTATATACACCTGAGTCCTGATCGAAACCTGCCCCACATATACAGCAATACACGTTTAACCGCTATTGCGCATGCCAAAATAATACTCCCTCCGGTTCTCTAAAGCAAGTCGTTTTGGACATCGACACGGTCTTTAAGAAACGACTTTGACTGCAACTTTTTGCTATAAAATATTTATAAAATATAGTCAATATATACTTTTATGAAACTACATTTCAAGATGAATGTACTTACATCACTTTCATATTTTCAAACTCAACCCAAAAGAAGTTATTTGTAGTCAAAGTTTAAAATGTTTGACTTAAGACAACCTCAAAACGACTTGCTTTAGAGAACCGGAGGGAGTATGTTTAGCTACTACTTATGTGTTGCAGAAGGAGAAAAATTAAATAAAACACAACAACTCACTACGGGAAATCTATACTGCTAGCTTTCATTAATTCCCTTAAAAAAAGCTTCATTAATTAGGGGCAAATCTGGCCTTTGGCATTTGGATCGCGGGACCCAACGTAACAAGGGCATGTTTCATACATGGGCTATGTTTGCTATCTAAAAATCAACTCTAGCGCATCAAGCAGGAGTTCTAATATATTGATTAATTTTTTAGTCAAAAGCCGTGAATTAGGCATTACCAAACTAGCTAACCAACTATAGTTAATTTAAGCTAATTTTTAGCCCCAACCAATAATAACTAGC